GTCTGTCGGTCTGTGTGTGCACGCGTGTATCTCAAGTTCGGCTGAACCGATTTTGATGAAATTTTATATGTAAGTTTGTTTCCACCATGGCACGGATCGATCAACTTTTGGTATATATCAGGCCTCGGGAACTGCACTTTTTAGCGGGCCGATTTTACATTTCTCACCATTTTGAAGAAAGTATTCAACCGATTTACTTGAAATTTCATATATAAGCTTTGCTCGATCATACGCAAAAATTCCTAACTTTTGGAAGAAATCAGGCATCAGCAACTGGGCGTTTACTACGGGCCAAATATACATTTTTTTGAAATTTGATATTTGAGTTCTGGTTGTTACCGAAACTAACTGGCGAGCATTTCAGGGAATTCGGGTAGCACAAAGCGAAACTCTACTAAGAGCCAAATTTACATTTTTCTGGGTATGTTAACTATAAGCTTACTAATGTCTTAAAAATTGGAAAGAAGTATTTATCAGACATTTTTATAATAATCTGTAACACTTTTATTTAACTAGACAATACACAATGCGGTCGGTTATGTGCTGACCACATCAGATTTTTTTTTATTTTTGTCTTAGTTCTCACATTTTTGTGGTATATCTGCAATTTATTTGAATTATTCTGAAGGATTTTCTCTAATTATTAGCTGGGAATACAAGATTTTTGTATTATAATTGAATTAAGAATAGCTTGAGGTAATAAATTACATTTTAGAAGGACCAAAATTATTAAAGGAAAAAATAAAATTGTGAAAACGTAAAATAAATCATAATTATTGTAACGTAGTACAGTATTTGAAAAAATTATTTTAAAAAATATAGAAACCTATTTAAATTATGTCAATTATTGTAGTAGAAACTTTATTTTATTTGACTTATTTCAGTTATAGTTGAGTAAGTTCCTTGAAATTAAAAGAAGACTTAATCCTATTGGGCAACTTTGTAAATTAAATTTTAGAGCATAAAACTTTAGAAAATTAACAATCGTGATTATAAAGTAAATATTCTTAATAGCAGCCGGAAATCGCATAATTTTGATTTGCAACTAACCTAACAATAGTTCAAGGTCAATGTATTTTAAAGTATTGGGACCAATGTATTGCAATATACATAAGTTTTTTAAATAACGAGATTAAAAGATAAACGTTACTAGATAAACATATAAGTTTTTTAAATAACTAGATTAAAATATACGTTTAAAATGGTAGTAACACTTTTAGAATTTTTTTTTTAATACAGACGTTTCAAAAGTTACTAAGATTTAGAAATAAAACGCACCTGACTGGTCATAACTTCCTCAATCTGATCAAATTAATTAACAGTATTTTTTTTATTTTTGTTTTCGATATGTCCTCATCTGAATTTGTTATTTAGAGTTATTTTTGTGGTCTTTCGGATTAATAGCATCATTCAAACTCAATTGTGATGATCTACTAAATTTTTATTTTTCAAAAATTATGAATGTGATGTACTTATTGTGGTCATCAGAAACTCCTTTCATAGTTCAATTAGTACATAGTTTAATACTAAGAACAGTTACTTGTAGATACTAATAGAAACCATAAGTCAAAAAGGATACTAAGAGGTATAACGTAAAACAAAATTTATTTGAGTGATGTGTTTCGTTATAAAAGCTACAAGCTTTTATTAATTTACTTATTATATGTAAAAAGCATAGTCAACATTATGTAGAAAATTTGTACCCGTTCGAATAATTCAATTAAACCTTAGAATTATGTAATTAAAAAATTTAGGAATTCGTTACAATATTATTAATTATCGTAGGCTGGATATGAAAAATTAAAATTTGCAGAAATTATTTATAACTTTTCTTAAGTTAATTCCCAACATATTTTTTATGTCTATAATTTTAAATAAAAGTTAATAATTAAAAATTGTAATGGCCTTATACTCCTAAATATGATTATTGTTGATTAAAATAATTAAAATTTTGTAATTTAAGAAAATTAACTTTTGCTTAAATTATTTTTCTGTTTATTTTCTAAATAGAATATTTTATATGTTATACAGTCAAACAACTTTGGTTCGAACCTTTTCAAGCTGGATGCTTATTTTAATATAAACTTCATAATACTAAATTTTTAATATAATAGCAATTTTTCCCATCAAAGAATTAAAATTTTTTTAATTCTCAACTTGAAAATGATTTTATATTAAATTTTTTGTTATACTTTTGGGTTTTTTCAAGCCCATATAAGTAAAATAAGAAAATGCAAGTTTCCTGTCACTCTTTTTGCTTTTTAAAAATTTTTTTAATATTCGTTGTTCTGAAGAATTGCAAAAGCTAATTGAGGCGCTCAGCTCATTAGTGGCCTATTACAGTTGTCTTGCAATGTCACATTTGCAAGTAGGCCACTAATGTGTTGAGCGAATCAATTGTGAATTTGAAAAAAGAATGCTACGTAATACGACTTTACCCTTGTAATGTCGAAATGATTCAATATCGAATGATAAATTTCAAAATGAGAATAGTTAACTTCAATATGAGAATATCTAAAGTGAAAATTAGAAAAGTAATCCTCATCGGCAAGGATTAAATGAAAAAATATTGAAACTATAGCTGTAATATAGCTGTAGAGTATAGATAATGAAACTAGAATAATAAAGTACTAGGGGACTGTACAATAACGGCGCCGGAGCTGCGTTCCTCCGCGCCCCACAAATTGCTCGTGTACATCAGGGCACAATAGATCGTTTACGTGTTCGCGGTGCATTGTTTCCCTGCGTTTACAATTTACAATCAACAATCTATTGCTTGTCATTGTTAGTATAGTTTTATGTTTATATTACTTAAATTAACGAAAAGGAGTAATTCTCATCTTATAAGATTTTCTAATTTCGAATCGATTTTTCAAAGTTTTGAGAAATTTGGTTTATTTAAGCTCGACTGTATATAAAACTCAAACGTTATTATAAATATTAAAAAAACATAAACTGCGGCTTATAATAAACTCCTTTATTGTTTTATTTCCGGCTGATGAGGAAAAGATCAAAGAATATTAAAAGAAAAATTAAACAACGATAATTTCATTTTAGATATTCATTAGAATTTTTTTTTTGGTTTTGCTCTTCAGATACTTCAAAGAAGGAATAAAAATGGAAAAGAAAAAAAGTTTTCTCTTTCAAACTTTTTTCTCAGCATCAAATAAATTTTGTATACATATACAAATGCATAATGTTTCTGTTATAACAGTAACAATAAATTAGATAAATTACTGTACTAGTATTATATTTCATCCATTTCATTACATTATTCTAAAATGAACTGAGCCTAAAGAATTCTAAAAAGTTCTGTTCGTTAAAATTTCCATTAAGTTAATTAAACTTCAAAGAAGATTGTGAATATTGTTTAAGTATTGAAAAAATATTTTTAACAATATTATGAGAATAAAATATGGGAAAAAATAATTTCATTCTATTGTGGAAAATTATAAAATTTTTTCTAATTCAAAAAACATTTTCATATTAGGTAATTAAAAAGTCGGAAGTTATTATTATTTGGTCGTATTTAAAAGCGGCCTACATTTTGTTTGTAAAGCTAAGAAAATTATTCAAATTTTGCTAATAATATTACCTATGTCGATACATGAACCAGGACACATAAGGAAAACAATCTATCCAATGAAATAAAACATTGTGAAAAAGTTTGTTATTAATAAAAAAAAACCTTACTAAGTTCCAATTACCACTGACTGTACTACAATGAAAGTTTTTGTTTATGAAATCGAATATTTAACTTTAAAAATTTAAGTTTGGAGCTCTTATTGTAATATACGTTCAAATTTTAATAATTAACCATTAACATTATCACTACACTATAAATTTTGCATAAATTTAAGAAAAATTTTAAAGTGCTCAGCTTAAAAAAATTATATACATATATGCTTCAGTAAGAAGAGGCGTTAATATAATGCTCGAATTAAAGGGTTAATTGCGTGAGTTAAAAAAATAATTGCATTTTTTAATGGCTTGGTATTTACCGTTAGTTTTCTGCGTTTATAAAAATTTGGCAAAGTTTACAGTTTCGGTAATATGTAGAGCTGAATATTCGAATTTTGAGAGGCAATAGCTTGAAAAGGGTGTGAGGTGGAAAAAATTTATTTATAACGAAATAAACAATTTACTAATATCTAAATTTTTTAATTTAGGAAGAATAAATTTCTGGGAAAGATATTATATTTCTACGGAAAATTTCAGTTGTTTATCTTAAAGGGTGTATGTTTTGTAAACATGTCTGAAAACTGATTACAAAACATTTTCTTTTTTAACATTCGGTGTGCATGAATTTTTCATTGTTTCCAATTATAATAATTTTAATCAGAAGAAAGAAATATAAACACAGTAAATGACCATTGAACCAATTAAACTATAAAGTTATAGATTTAAAAAATGTGCTCATCATATACGAGAAGAAGCTAATAAAAGTAATAATTGGACAATGGCAGTGTTTTAAGTTTTGTAAATATTCAAAAAACTAAATTAAATTGAACATTTGAGCATTACAATCTATCTCAATAATCACACGTAGGAAGGGGATAGGCTTACCAAATTAAAGTTCTGTTTGTAGGAGTGCCAGATCGGATGTCTTAGGTTTACAAAATGTTCACAAATTGACGTTTTTTTATAATAGAAAGTTTTTCAAATATTAACATCGTGTGATTCTGAAAGCTGAAAAAATTATAATTAATGTTGATATTAGTGAGAGATATTTTGTTCTTATAGCTTTGTAATTCGTATTTAATCATACTTCTATTCGAAATTGGAATGGAGCTATGTTTATGCATTTACTTTAGAGTTTCTTATCTCGGAACCTTTTTAGTTATTAGCGTTGTCTCCATACCAAAATTTTACATATTCATCATGATGTATGTAACGGTTTATTAGAGAAGTGTTATCAATATAACGATCTTTGTTCGCTAAAACGAAATGAAATAATCAAATACAGAAAAAATTTTGTTTAGTAAAAAATTGAATTTGTTAAATAGCGTTTTCGGTATTAAATTTTATTAAAATCCAAGCTTTTTAATGAAGAAATTCCAAAAGTTCAAAAAATAAATACTAGAATATAAAAAACATAAAAAATTTTTTTTTGTATCAATATTTTAGACTTTGGTCAGCCTCGCTTGTGGTTTAAAAGCGTCATTTTCAATATAAATACCCCTTATTATTATGTTACCATAAACATTCACATATTTAATTTTATTAAGTGATGAAGGTAATTCAGCTTTTCCTACCATGTTTCCGTTTACATCTGCACTTATTTTATTTTTAGCGAGAAAAATATTTACTGTAATTAATTCAGTTGAATCTATTGTAAATTTCAAATTTTCAATAGACGTCCATTTGGTTTGCTGAAATTGGTTTATAGCAAGATTATTTTTCGAATATCCAAGATTATAGGAAATCAGACAATTTTTCTCATCATTACAATTTTCACTTTCTAAACGAATATCAAATCTGTAAAATTTAAAAGATGATCAGTTTTAGTTTTTTTATATTTTAATAAAGAAAATTATATTAAAATTACGTGTCTGTTGGAGATGTTGCGAAACCATTTATAATAATTTTGTCTCCATCTTGCAATTGTCCATTTACATCTAACTGTCCTATAAGAAATTGATTTTCACCTATGTCATTTGATTTTTCCACTATATCTGTTTGGTTTTCTGACTATAAATGGTTTAAAACATTTTAATTATTATTAACAAACATAAATTATTTATATAAAATCGATTCAAATAACGTTTTCAAAACTTTATCTAATTAGATCCATATTTGATTTGCTATTTCTAAATTTTATTTAGCATTGCTGGTAAATACTGCGATTTGAGTCAGTTAAAGTACTTTGAATTTATACCAACATTGCTTATACTTCATTCCCTAAGTACATACACTCTTAACGTATGCATTTATGTGTACAATATAAATTTCTAGTATGCAAATAAAAATTTCATTTCACTTTTCATTTGTTTTTTCTAAAATTTTTAAAAAATTTTAAATAGTCTTAGAATACTATTTATTGAAAGGTCTCGCAAACCACCTTTCAGTTGATATTCCTATGCTGTTTGCTGAAAGTTATCGATCTGACTCTCTTCTATTTCAATGTTTTTTAAATCGAATATATCAAAAATTTTTCAGATTCTTGATTTAACATTATTTTCTCTGAATATTTGAATTAACATTTTATAAGAAACGTGTATTTTTATTTATTATAATTTTTCCCTATTTTGTCATAAAAGATTACTCTATTAAGAAAAATAATGAAAATAACAAATTTTTATACTTACCGGTTTCGGATCCAACACGGAAAAATAATATATTACTCCAATTACTATTGCTATCAAGATTGCATCTGAATCGCGCATTTTAGAAGTTTTAAATATTTCGTAGTATGGCTGAGAGTGTGTCCTTTTGTAAAATTTCTACTTTATACTGATGCAGTTTTCAATTTTATATTAAACTTTGAGTCAGAAATTCTAAAGTACACGTACCTATAGACGTATAAACAAATAATTTAATCCATCGCATTTTTTTTTTGCACTTAATTGACCAAAATATCTATATTTCTTTAAGAAAACCGAGGTGTAGTTTCTGATACACATTTTTTTGCATAACGTATTAGAAATATTAGGTAGAGATTATTATGAAAAATCAGCTTAAGAATAATATGCATCATACTTTATTTGAAGCCGAATTCGTCGCAATAATGAACAAAATAATTTTTTATTTGTTATGCAAGTTCAGATCTACATAGAAAATGTAGACTTGATTCGAGATTGTTGAGGGAAAAGAAAGGAAACACGTGATCGTAAACTAAAAGTCTAATCAGTTTTGTTTATATTATATATCAGCAAAACTGGCAGCTTTCGAAAATAAAATCAACAGAGAAATTAAAAAATATATTATTTTCTCAATCATATACAAGTTCATGTATATATAACTTAAATACACACTTAATTAAAAACGTATGTATGTATGTAATTACATATGAATATATGTAAATATGTAGATATAATGTTTATATACTATAAATATTAAATGTTTATCAGACAAAATTGATTATAAATTCTATTTGGCTGTATGTAAATTGTTTATAAAATGTACTTAAAGCAAATTGCAGAAAAGAGCAAAAGTGTTGACACAATACACAAAATTTTTCTACAAATCGAAAAAATAATACTGTCAATTGTCTCGTTTTTGGTACGGTAACTCATACTTAATATAAACGGGTTTGAAAATAAAAATTTTCAGTAAAAGTTTATTTAGACCTGTGCCAAAATTTAAATACCCTTTTATAGTAATGATCCCACCTATTAAAGTAAATGATAATTTTCAATTACAATTTTAGTGTTTTTGAATATCTTTATCATCAATTTCACCACTATTTAGGTACTTTAATTTTTACAAAAAAATATTTTACTGGCAACACTGGCCGTTAAAATTTTTGCATAGAAAATAAATATTTTTAAAAAATTTCTAGTTAGGTATTAGACAATATCTGATAAACAAAAATATTTTAATTTTGATTAAGCGAAATTTTCAATAGGATTATTTGCGAATTTATACATACTATCTTGAAATAAATAAATTGATGGTGTGGTGAAATATTAAGTACAAATGTTGCACCTGGAAAATAATCATATTACAATATATACGATATAACAAAAAAAGAGATTGTTGCAATATAACAGTATATACTATGTCTTATTTGCAGTTAGCAAAAAATGAGTTACGATAGCAATATTGGTGTGGCTTTGGGAAAAATTGCAATTTTTAAACAAATTTTAAATATTAAGTTACATTCGACAGGGTTAGTATTTTGATGGTTACAAATTTCACATGACGATGAAAATACTGCTGAGCCGATTATTTTATTTTGAAGTTCACAAATTCAAAATTTTGAGTTCTAATTCATATATTATTTTGAACAATTTTAATATTGTGAATAATACATTGATTTACTAATACTAATAAATAAATTTTTGGGAATATAAGATTCAGTCCATTATGAGCTGGTCATATTAGATTTTTTCTACGGTATTATTCAACAATATTATTTTATAAAATTTTTATTTATTTGCTCATTGTAAAAGTCAATACGTACTATGAAATTTTTTAAAAATCTTATTTAAATTCTGGTTTTCTTATCTGAATTCTACACAAAATTGTGGATTTTTGATATAAAGATTAATAAATCGTAATAGATTCAAAGATGAGAAATATGATTTAAAAGTTTATTCACTAAGCTGTTTTTTATAAAATAATACATATACTCGTAAATATGAATGTATGTATGTACATGATATTATATAGATTTGTACTCTATAATTACTAGTACGCAAGTGCCATGATTGTTCCAGCTGTTCGGCATGACAAATTAAATATTTTTTCAGAATTTCCAAATTTATATAAAACTTTTTTATTTTCATTATTTTAATGCTGATGTAATTAAATAAATTTGTTTACTGTTATTAATGACATCACCTTTTGTTACCAAAATGTTTGTTACCTATGTTGTAAATTTTTTTTTTGTTTTTAGGTATTTTTTTTTTTTTTGAGAAAAATTAAATTTCTTGTGAAGATAATAATCACCTTTCATACCTGGTGATAATTGTTTCATTAAAATAAATTATTTTTAAGATTTAATGAAAGTTTGACATTATTTTGATGTGCCTTTATAATTATAACAAAGCTATATAATATTATGTACAAATAAATCTGGATGAACAGAAGGTTTACATAAATTTATGTCCCTAATAAATAAAGATAGTATATACTATATAAGTTAATTGGTATAGTATAATAAATAGTTTTAATTATTAACATGCGTTTGTAATATTAAAATATGGCAACGAATGAGATTTTGATGTCGACATTTCTTTCATATAATTTAAATTAATGTTATTTTGTGACTGTTGTTAATGACAAATAAAATTTTATTAATGTTAAAAAAAAAACTTGTATACAAGTTTACATTTTGTGAAATGAAAATTACTTGTACATTACAATCATTTACTATTTATGTTTACAATGAAGTGTATTGTATATGTATACCAATAAGGTGTTAAAAAACAAAATGAAAATCGTCAGGTAGAGTTAGGAATCTGTTACACCAATCAGTTTTTACGGATCGCATACAATAATGGAGGTTATGTGATGGCACCAAATTTCGGATATCGAGTTTTCAGTGAGAATGCACTTCACCATGGCATAGAAGCATTTAAATAAACTATTTTTAAAGAGATATCGGTCTGTGTGCGTGTAGCTCAAGTTCGGCTGAACAGATTTTGATGAAACTTTATGTGTGAATTTATTTTGGTTTGGTTGATAAATTTTTGGGATATATCACGCCTCAGGAATTTGACTTTTTGGGGGCTGATTTCACATTATTTTTTGAACATATAAAGAGAAGTAACGAACCATAATCTTCTTGAAATTTAAAAGTTAAATTCGGGGTTTTAAAGCAACGAACCTATATAAATTTTTGCAAATCAGGAATTGTAAACTTAACTAAGAGCCGATTTCATAAAGGCAAGTTTCCTTTTTTCTATAGGTATGTTAGGCCAATAAAAACGCTGGTAAGCTTTTAATTAGCTTAAAATTGCAAAAATTTCTGTGAAATAGGGTTACCACATCAGATTTTTTTAATTTATACATACTGCTAGAAGTTATGAAAATATCGAGATTTATTTAATTAATTCTCATCTTTTAACAAACGAAAGAATTAAACAGAGCTGTTTTAGTTTAATCTGAAGTAACTAATCTAGATTTAAATAAGTTGACGTGGTATATTTAAATAATTTTAATCAATAATAGCATTTAAGATTATTATTTATGCGCCACGTCATTTAATCAAATCGTGTTCGAATATTTATTTACCACGTGACTAATGCATATAAGGTAACAATAATATTGATATTATAAATAAAATGGTCAGATAACAAACTTATCAACACCGAATAAAAATAGAATATACACTGTAAGCAATTCAACTATTGCTAAATAAATGAAGTAAATTAGTTTTGTTTTTGTCGTATAATTTCATGGGTTTAGAAAGTCCAGAATCATGGTCAGGATTATCATATTATTATTTACTTTATAAAAGAAACAAATTTTGCATATCGAATTTTCAGTGGGAACGCATTTCTCCATAGTAGAGAAGTGTAAATAAACAATTTTTAGGGAGGGGGTGGTCTGTCGGTCTGTCTGTCTGTGTGTGTACAGGTGTATCTCAAGTTCGGCTGAACCGATTTTGATGAAATTTTATATGTAAATTTATTTCGACTATGGCACAGATTGATCAACTTTTGGGATATATCAGGCCTCGGGAACTAGACCTTTTAACGTCCTAATTTTACATTTTTGATTATTTTAAAGAAAATATTCAATAAATTTACTTGAAATTTATATATTAGTTTCATTCGATAGTACGCGAAACTTTTGGATGAATTTATTGACGTATTGATACAATTTCTTGAAATTTAATATTTGAGTTCTGGTATTTACTAGAAGTTACTGACGAACTTTTTATATAATTTGCACGGCAAAAACTGAAATTCCAAGAAGTGTTTAAAATGCATTTTCATAATCTTCTGGAATACTTTTACTTATCTAGACAATAAACATTACGGTCGGTTACATGCTGATCACATCAAATTTTTTTAATTATTCGTATTGTTCAATCATATAATATTTTATTCTTCTTAATTTTTTCTAGTGTACTATTATTATTTTACAATACAATCCATCGTTTAAGCAAGTAGCTTGAAATGTAAGTGTTAAAAGTGTATTAAAATATCAAAACGTGGTAGACTTCCTTTATTTTGTCAATATATTTTATTTTCTCAAAACTTGGATTTATTTTCATTAAAGTTTGTTTGAGAATTTCATTGATAGCTATACAATATCAGAAATTAAAACATACTTATAAGGAATTTTTGCAAAACAACTTTACTTTTTAGATATTCAAATATGCTTATATTTCTGCATATTATGAGAAAGACGCTAAAATCAATATGATAATATTATGTCCATACATATATTATGAAACTTTTGGAATTCTCAATTTCTCACTACAATATTGTGAAAATATGAAACTGAAAAAATAAAAGACAATTTAAAGGAAATTGAACAGCAATAAAAATGGTTTTTATTGATGGCATAGTTTTTTCTAGATGATTTAATAATCATAAATTTCATTTCGATTTATTAAAATAGATAGAAAAATAGAGCGATAGGATAAAATATTTATGAAAAGAACATAGAATATTCTAGTTTAAATTAAAATTTTTTGTTTTATGGATTATGAAAAGATGAGAACATTGTACATAAAAGTAAAATCTCGTAATCGTAAAATTTGAGGAAATAAACTGAATATCGAAAATACCAAAACTTAACTTTATATTACTTAAAAATAGGTTTAACGAGCAAAA